GACCCACAGGTTGAGAACCACTGATTTAGTACTTTGTTTAGATCAGTGGTTCTCAACCTTTCTAATGCCACGACCCCATAATACAGTTCCCCATGTTGTGGTGACCCCCAACCACTTATACATCACCGGGTCCCAGGGGCGTGGCCAAAGAAAGGGGGGAAAATGGTGGACAGCCTTGTTTGGCGACCCCCGTGAAATGGTCATTCGACCCCAAATGGGGTCCCGACCCACAGGTTGAGAACCACTGGTTTAGTACTTTGTTTAGATCAGTGGTTCTCAACCTTTCTAATGCCACGACCCCATAATACAGTTCCCCATGTTGTGGTGACCCCCAACCACTTATACATCACCGGGTCCCAGGGGCGTGGCCAAAGAAAGGGGGGAAAATGGTGGACAGCCTTGTTTGGCGACCCCCGTGAAATGGTCATTCGACCCCAAATGGGGTCCCGACCCACAGGTTGAGAACCACTGGTTTAGATTGTATCTTCGAATATCTAAACCAGTATTTCTCAACCTTTGCAACTTTAAGAGGCACGGACTTCAACCCTCAGAATTCCCCAGATAGAAAGATGTTAAAGTCCCTATACTTCTTAAAGTTGTCACAGTTGAAAAACATTGATCCGAACATAATTTCTCACGCTGCAGAATAATATATACACAAGGAGGCCTTGAAAGAGTCCATTTGGCTGTTTAAGTGAAAAATTTTCTCAATACATTTAGTGAGTGGATTTTTTCCATTTCCCTTCTTTATAAATATAATCTTGCCTTTCATTTTGTTTCTTGACAAAAATGTTTTCTTGGAATTGTGAAAAAATATTTCTGACTTTTAAAACGTCCGGTTACCTTATAATAAAAGGATGCAAAAGTCTGGCTTAAAGTACTATACAGTTTTAGAGAGGAGTTCATTCTCATTTCATCGAGCGGCGTTTGGATGAGGTTCCTTACGATTCACCCATATAAAGAGAAACTCAGAAATCAGAGAGTAATTGAACTGTTGTTGCTTGAGCAGCCTTTCATCAGACATCTTTAGAACTAGTCTCCAGTATTGTTTTTGAATTGGGGTGTTTTGGAGTGGTTGCAGCTGGTAAGTCTCCTATGTATCTTTTTGGTGTATCTCTGGCAGATTGCATTTTCTGTCATGCTTTATTGTCAGGGCCATTTATGCCGTCTTGCAACTTTTTAAAATCTTTTTTTGCACAGGCTTTGTTTGTTTCAGCATCTGCTAAGGCTAATCAGGAGAAGTGTTTCTGCCCAGTTGTTTGATCATTGTCATTTGCTTCTGAACAGTGCGAGCAGATGACAAAAGTGACTTGAGACAGACTACTGTATGTAATTAGTGTCTTCATCAGTTTTTATTGCTGTTGATAAAAAAAATGTAGTTTTCTAATAGACCTGGGTATAGTTAATAAGCTGGATTCTTTTATTTGCTGCATTTATACCCCCCCCTTTTCTCCAGTGAAGTATTCCACAATAGAATATAATTACTAACTAAAATGTTCCATGTTGAAACCAGTATGTAAGATCAGATAATCAGGAAATTATGATAATGTGACAGAAAACCCAAAGAAAAAGAAAATACACAGTACTGTTGGAATAAATGCAATTCAAGCAATGGTGGGGAATCAGTTTCTGTTGAGTATTATGATAGATCGAATTCCTGTTACCAAGGTTAATAATTTCCTCTGTTGAGATTGCATTTAGTGTCCCCATGTAGTTAATTCATACTGGACTATCAGGTTATCCTATTTCCTTTCCTTTTTAAAAAAATTCTCCTAAATTCTCTTATTTTTTCTTTAAAAAAAATCAAAACAACAAATGCCGCATTATTTGTTATACTACACTTGTAACTGACTCTGTGAATTTGCCAAACCATAACTGTTGAAACAAGTTTATATCTTTTCTAAGAAAGTACAAAATTTCTTTACACTAATGCAGACGGCTGGTTCATCTTGACAAATACGTCCTTGTTTATTGAATATAGTCATCACCATATTGAAAACACACAAATTGTATCACCGTAGAATGGTTAAAACAGAAGAAAGGTAGTATTTTGAAATGGCCAAGTCGAAGTCCTGACCTCAGTTCTACAGAAATGTTGTGGAAGGACCTGAAGCAGGCAATTCCTCTGGGAAACATCCCTGAGTTGTTCTGTAAGGAGGAATGGGCTAAAATTCCAAACCAATATGTAGGGCTGATCAATGGTTATCGGCAACATTTAGTTACAGTTTTTGCTATCCAAGGAGGACCCACCAATTACTGAAAGCAAAAGTTTACTTACTATCGCCACACACAAATAAGTAGCATTGGCCATTTCCCTCAATACATCAGTGATCAAGAATAATGTCTTGGACTCATTTGTTTAATTGTGTTCTCGATCTAGTTTTAGGACTTGTTTTCAAGTCATAGTTATGCAAAAATTTTGAAAATTCAAAAAGGTTCACAAAGCACCACTATAATTCAAAACCTGGATTTTAGGAAGTTGATTTTTCTTTTTTTGGATATAACCTGAAACTGATTCTAGGACTGTCTATATCAGGAGTATCAAACTCCCATGTTACGTGACGTGTCATGACGTATCGTAACTTTTTCTCCATTGCCGGAGCTGGGGTGGGTGCAGTTTCGGCACAACGCATCCAGCCCGCGGGCCAGCAGTTTGACACCGCTGGTCTACATGCAAACCATATGCTTTACCATTGAGGAAGTTACAGCCTTCCTCACTGAGATACCGATAACATCTTCCTTCAAATCCTCACAATGATTTCATAAGGGCTAGAAAACATGGGCAGATTGGAATAGTAATCCCCCAGCATTAATTACTGCAAGTCCTCTCTAACTTGTTAGTGAAAATGTGGTAGGTCAGTTCATATTAGATCTGTTTTAACTTCTGTAATATTCTATGTTGTTTTAAGTTTCTAACGCAGATGTTCTGAAAGATGAGGAAGATTTGTATGCATGCATATGTATGTCACTGTAGCTTCTTGCAGTCTCAGGGCTGTTTGAAATGTGTAAAAATAGCAGGCGATACAGTTGTTACTGGATTTTACCACTTCTGATTACCCACAGAGATTACATGTTCATGGTGTGTTACTGAAAAACAGCTCTAGTTGTGTAAAGTTAGCATATTGAAAGAAAATATGTTTTAGTCTAGGCTTCATTTTACTTCCATTTTATCTTCTTTGCCATTAAGAAAACAAAAGCTTAGAAAGTCAAATCAAGTACAAAGTATCAAAAACAACAAACCAACAAATATAAAAGTAATTTTTTAATAACATTCTGCTCAATATATTTCTACAGTAGAAATATTTTGGTAAAGGGACTGAGCTAGATCCCAAATCCCAGTAAGCAGGTGCTCATCTATATGGTAATATTTAAAGATATGCTGAATGGCACCTATTCGTCAAATCGCAATGTCAAATGTACACTTTCATTACAGGTTAAGAGGCACAAGAAAAGACAGCCCTTGCTTCTGTGTGCTACATACAGCAATCAACAAAATAATTGAAAATGCAACATAGAAATAAAAGCAACATAGCATAAAATACTAAGAAAATAAAAGCAAACATGCATACACAGGGCATTTATATAATCACATTTGCAATATTAAGGAGATTAAAAAATAAACTAACATGGAGAACGGATGTAATAAAAAGCTTTAAGGATTCTTAAAAGGACACTTTAATGGAAACGCAGAAGTGGGATTGAAATAACTGGGAATGTTTATCTGGGGGAAGAGAAGAGAAGACAGAGGGGCATATAATGCTTTTCAAATATTTGAAAGGATGTCACCTAGAAGAAGGTCAGAGCTGCTCTTTATCATTCCATAATACAGGGCATGACAAATGAATCTAAGTCAGAGGAAGGACAATTTCAATTAAATGTTAGAGAAAGCTAAGGGTATGTTTCAAAGTCAAAACAAATTACTGCAGTTTAGAAGTCCTGCTGAACTGTTTCTGATTAAGCTTGCTTTGACCAAAACCAAAATCTGGTATGTTTTGGTTGTTTCAGGTTTTGTTTCATCCCAAACCTGAAACAACCAAAACATGTCAGGTTTTGTTTCTGCTGAATTGTGATCAATCCCAGATTATTTTACAGAGTACATCACCTACCTCTCCCCCGTGCAGGTCTGCTCTTTCATCTTCCATCAACCTCAGTCACCACAAATTGGCACATGGCCCTTGTTGCAGTAATGACTCAGCAGTAAGGAACCAGTTCCCCACCTGGCATATCCTACTGGCTGGTCTGCCCACTGGTCTCCCCAGATTTTACCTACAAATGGATTGTGGGAGAGAATAAGGAGGTGAGGAAGTGGATGGAAATATAATTACTTATTATATGTGACTAAGGATTCTGTTAAAGAAGCTATGCAGCCTGAGGTTTCACTCAAGGGAAAAATGTATTTTAATGGTAACAAACTATGAAGAGAAGGAAAAGACTTTATTAAAATCAGATATTTGGAATTAGAAAATATTATTCTGGAACTGACAACAACATTGGAGTTTGATCGTTATTTGAGACCCACCACATCAATTACAATTTACATGGTTGTGTATCGCAAAAATTACCATATGTAAAGGAAGCATAATACTTCATTGTTTTTTTTATTGTTCCTCAGTTTTATAGGGGATCTGTCAGTAATCAAATTGTTCCTAAATTTAAATTTAGGCCATTTAAATTTAATCTTAACCAAATGTAACCCTAACCCTTAGGAATAAACATTACTTTAGTCCCTAAAAAGTGAAAAACAATCCAGATATTGAATAATTCACATTTTCTCTTACAAAGCTCTTAATGTCTCCTAGTTTTGAAGATGATGTTCAAACTTCCATTCCATTATGTGTTTACTTTTACGTTTGAGCATATAAAAATGTTAATGTATTAGAATGTAGCAATCATTTTCCAACTCAATTGCATTCCTTTACTACAACATTAATTTTTGAAATCTTTCTTTTCATTTCTCTCCCAACTATATTCTACGCAATTTTTTTACTAATATAGAACAGGCTTCCTATGTTATGATGGCAGCTTAGAAACATAGTATATTTACCTTTTGACTATATCCACACTACATAATATTTTTAGATTATAGTTTATTAGAACTATTCATTTTAATGGAGCAATAATCCAACTACACATTTTCTTCTATATACTTGATTAAATTGATCTCAGATGAATTTTTCTATTGCTCTTCAGTATTGTTTTATGATTGGGAAATAAAGCTCTTGATTACTAGTTGGTATGTTAACGTTGAAGGAATTAAATGTTCCAATTAGTTGAAATCCATCTGAAATTGAAGTAAGGGTGGAGAATATAGATGAGAAAAAGAAATACACATTCACTTGAATAAAAATTAAATACTGTAAAGGAAAGTGTGTGGGGGGCATGAAAAAAAGTAGAGATATATTTACCTAACACTAATAGTGGGATAGGAAAGCTGAAGATGGGAACCTGAATTTCACATATTAATCTAAAAACCTTTCCACTAAATATCTGAATATATGCTGTCCTCTATATAAGATCTTGATCCCTTAAGATTTAATAATTCTATATTTCCTGCTTAGCTTTTAACAATAAGTTGCTATCAGGATTACAGTTGTGAGCCTTGTAATTGTAACATACAGCCTATATTACTTTGTTAATGAAGACATGTAGTGAAATACATGAAATGCCGTAATATGATCAAGGCTCATTATATAAACTCTGCTGGTTGCCTAATCTTATTAATTTTCTTATTAAATGGATGGTTATTTGTTGTCATAGAATGTGTGTGTCTGTGTATGTGTGTGCGTTGTGACAAATCTATATACAGTAGCCTTTTTTCCCCCAGCAACTTTTATCACAGAGCTCACAAATGGACAGTTTATATTATTAGCTGCAGTAACTTGACAAGTCTCTTCTTTGCAATTTATATATAACTTGCAGTTACTCATTTCACTTTTCCTGTCAAACACAATAACCGTGATCTCTTATTCACTGATTATTTCCAGATCCACACTTAGGCACAAGGTTAAAAACCAAGAGACCGTGAATTCTAATCCTGCCAGCTGCATGAAGCCAGCTGTGTGGCTTTGGGCCAGTCACTAGAAAGGAGACAGTTGCAAAATCTTGTCAAGAAAACTGCAGGGACTTGTACAGGCAGTCACCAGGAAACAACATTGACTCAAACGGACAGAAAAAAAAAAAAGCTTTTACGTTTTACAGTATTTCCAACATGAGACTTCTCAACCAACAACAATCATTAGTGTGTGTACATTTACATTCCTAACATGTTTTTACCATCTACTGTATGAGCATTCCTTATACCTTTTCCATAAATAACCAAGGGACCATCACGGATTTTTATTTTACTCCAGAATTTACTTCAGTGGTGAATCTTTCGCTAAATATTCCATTTATTCACATGCTTACATCTGTCATATTGCACTTATCATATTTAACAAACTTCAATTCCATATAATGCAAAATATTCCATAATTTAAACCTACATCCTTTATCGTATGCTTTCTCTAAATCAACAAAATGCAGCACATTTTTACATTTACCATCTAAACTATTTTTGTTTACTATAGTAAGATTTGCACACTCCTTGCCTGGTATAAAATCACATTTCACTTCCAAAATTCTGCTCTCTGTCACTTCTTGTTCCCTCTCCTATAGCCATATAATAAAGGTAAAAATAGTTAGTGTAAATACTATATCTTTTGTTTGTTTATTAAATTTATATCTCACTGAATTTATTAAGTATGCCTGGGAAGGTGTTTGGCAGAATTCTGATTCTGTCGGTTTTTTTTAACCTGTGGTCTTGATACTGCTGCCTTATTTTTTTTAACAGGGAAACAATAATAAGGTCCTTCCAATTGTCAGGCATAGATATGGCCTTCACACAGTCATTGAATGTGTTACACAGCCATTCCATAATAATGGTAAAAAAGATTAGTGCTTACATTAAATGTAGAATTGTTTAAGAACTAATTTCTTTCTGTGTCCTTGGATAAAGTCCTTTTATAAAGAAAGCAATGTAGTTTATATTATATGTTTATATTGTGATATTTTAAAATGTTTAACACCTCCCCTCCCCAAACAAGAAGTCTCTATCCAGAATTCTTATTATTGGCAGAATTATATAGTGTACAGATCAAACCGAACCTGTTAGCTTTTCTTGTAAATGGATGAGCATTATTAAAACTATAGGTCAGATTAGAGCAGCCCTATAGCCTTTATCTGTTTATTTCTCTTTTCATACAGTACAAGTGTCTCAAGATCACTCTTGACAGACTATGGATGCTTCTGGATTAAGGAGTTTGCTTCCCATGAGTGTATTGGAGATGTAATTAAGCAGTATCTTTCATTTTTGAATTCTATTAAATAAAAATAGTTTTAAAATCACAATTAATAAAAACTGCATGTATGTGTTGAGCCCATGAGAATGAATTGAATTTAGCTCTGTACTGATAATTTTCTGGCGTAGCAAATCATACATAAATTCCATTGAAACCATCACCTTTTTGCAATTAATATTCACTTCTTTTACTGCAGGAGATTTACTTGTTTTGCCTTTTATAATTGCCTTTTTTCAGTATTTAAATGCTAGCACGTTTCCAGAGAGAAAATGAATTTCCTCCCGACTTCAGCTAGTCATATATTACATTTGTGTGTGATATGAGATATATTTATATTATAAAGAAAGTGGGAATACTAATAAGACAGAACTTTTTCCTTCGGCAATGAAGTATGTCTTGGATTCTGGGATGCCCACCTTTCATTATAAGTACAAAACAGAAGTCAGTAGCAGAGCTGCTTTTTGTAGATACTAAATCCATTTGATTATAGAGAACAGCTTTTGTGCTGTTGGTTGGATCTACTTCAGTCCCATACTACAAGTCTCAGCATATCTGGGTAGGATGGCCAGTGCTGGAAATTCTGAGAGGCTTAATCACAACATATTTAGAAAGCATCAGTTTGAGAAATGCTCATTTATACTAATAGAAGTCTGATGTTAAGGGAAAAGTGTGCATTTCTAGGTCTTGTCTCATCTTGAATAAATCCATAGTCTCAAGATTTTTTGGATTGCTGCAAGATATTTTCTGCAACAGTTTGACATTTGAAAGTGTTAAATTTTAAGGTTATTGTATGGAAGCATAATAACATAAATATAGGACACTGAAGTAGTTAAAAATTAGGCAAAAGATTGGGGAAATAGTGAGAAACAGTAGTGTAGGAAAATGTTTTCTAGACTTCTCAAAAATCTTTTTTGATAATGGTAAGGTCTTGGCTATTGTTACCTGTTTTTTCTAAATTTGCTCCCTTCTCATCTTCATTGCTGAAGAGCAGTTCTGATTCTTCACGAAAAAACAAAAAAGCAAAACTATTTTAAGTTAATCTATTTGTATAGATTTAGTTAATATATTCACAGGTTTGCATAAACCAGTTGCTCAAAGTAGAAGGGTTTTTGTTGTGATGAATATGAGCTGTCAAAGAATTAGTAGAGGTTTGAGCTGAAGCGTCATGGTGTCACCTTTTATTCCCATCACCTTATTCTAAGGATACAGTGGAAACTCTGAACAGGGCTTTTGTTCAGGATGAGAATAAGTGCTCTTAATGGTGAATCTTGAAATATTCTATTTTTTTTTCTTTAAAAACTGTGGAATCTCTGGTTCACCAACCTAATCTGGTTAGCGAAACTGGGTCACTTGGATTGTGGGACTTCAGTCCATTATTTTTCTGAAAGTCTTTCTCTTCCCCTGACAATGTGATATGAATTTGCTCAGTGCTTTGATTGCCTTCTGTTGCTTTTTTTTAGGAAAGCTAATACATAGTTAGAATTATTATCTCTGATCATCAGGTAAATCTGGAGAAGGACGTCCAAGCTCCTGATACTGAAGGTAGAAAAAGGAACCTTCCCCATGCATCATACAAAGCCCCAGCCCACTGTAACCACTTAATTTCTCTTCCATCCTGGATCTCAGAAAGAGTAACAGAAAACAGAGGAATAATGAGGAAGGGACAAGGGTTAGGACTGCTTTTGTTTAACATCTTCACTATTGATCAGCATTTGCATACTAATGAAATCAACAAATGACGGTGAGTTATGTGAAGCTGCAAGCACATCATAGTAGAAGATGCCAGGAGTCCCCAGGAGCAATTCGAAAACATGAACAGAAAATTGCAGGATTAGATTTGGTTTCTAAAAATATGAATACTTGTAGAGGTGGGGAAGATCAACATTGGCATGAGATAGAACTGCAAATAGGAACAAGAGGGAAAGTTGGAAATGCTGCTGGAACTCTGTTAAATTTCATGCGTGTTCGTTTGGTGCTAAAGCCAACTGGGAGCAGTGCTCTGTGTATCAGGGGAATGATTTCCCTGCAACAATTATAGAACCAAAATTAATATGCCTCTTCTCTTTTTTCAAAGATCTCTGCAAGATCCCTTGCAGTTGTAGTAAGTTAGAGTGGAAATTCTTTCACATCCCCTACAAACTCGTATTAAAATTAGCAAATAGAATCCATTATTTGTAAGAATGTAGAATAATGCGGTTCAAAAGAACCTCATGAATCATTTAGCCCCACCCCCTACATAGTCAGAGCTCCAAAACAAAGAGGATTAGATCTGGAAGACAACGTTAGCCTACCAATCTTTTTATTTGCCACCCAGAGTCCGTTGGAAATGAGACGGGCAGCAAATAATTTTTTAAATCAATCAATCATTTTCCTGTAAGGAAAAACTGAAACTTTTTCTTTTTTCTTTTACTTTGTACCTTTAAGTCAGCATTGACTCATGGCGACTACCTGGACTAGTCCCTGCAGTTTCCTTGGCAAGGTTTTTCAGAAGTAGTTTGCCTTTGCCTCCTTCCTAGGTTGGAGAAAGAATGATTGGCCCAAAGGCAAGGTGGGACTAGAACTCTCAGTCTCCTGGTTTCTAGTCTGATGCCTCTACACCAGTGGTTCTCAACCTTTTTAATGCCGCGACCCCCAACCGGTCATAAGTCGAGGATTACTCAACCGTTCATAAGTTGAGGACTACTTAACTGGTGCAGCACCGTTTGCAGAATGGGACTTTTGGCGGGCTCAGCAGGGCAGAGACAGCCTGGACAATTCCTATTGGCTTTTGAAAGCCAATAGAATTAGACTCTATTCAAGAGAGTCTATTCTATTGGCTTTCAAAAGCCAACAGAATAAAAGGGAGTAGCACAGCTAAGGAAAAGGGAGAAAAATGGCGGACTGCGTTGTTTGGCGACCCCCGTGAAATGGTCGTTCAACCCCAAATGGGGTCCCGACCCACAGGTTGAGAACCACTGCTCTACACCAAACTGGCTGTCAACTGATACAAGGATTCAAAATATGTCACTGTCCACCTTTTTCTTTGAACTTATATAGGCCTTGATACCTTCCTAAACTGCTGATGTTAGTTGGGGGAACTCTTCTTATTACTTCAGCGTTTCAAAGTAAACAATCATAAATTACTTTGGGGCTTAAGAAGAACTCAGAAATACTGTAATGTTATTAAAGAATATATTTTTCACAGCATTGCCACTGTCTGAACCAGTACTTGGTTCTGCTTCATTTTATTTTAATAGTACATTTTCTATGCTTGCTCATTACACTTAATCTGGTTCACACAATTCATTCTTATTTAAGGAACATGATTTGGGATTGGATCAGTAGTCTGGTATCTCTGATGGGCAGATGTCCAATTCCAGTTGCATTCAGTTCATTTAGAAAGGGTTATATCGTGTGTTAGAAATTCAGCCCAGCCTGATATCATCCACAAATCTGATACCTGCTATGTCAGGTTTTTCATTAAAAACAGAAAAAAATAACTAATTAGTTAATAGTGTAAAATATGTAGTCTTATGACCTAGAATCAAAGCAGACTTGTTTCTGAAAGCTTATGTTTTCTGTTGTTTCAGGTATTGTAAGATTCTTTCATTGTTTTTTTTTTAAACATCTAATATGGCTACCGGCTCTACTAATTCTTTACTGACATTTTTTTAATTAAGCTAAAGCGCAGGATTGACTGCAGTGGAGCTCCAACTGCTCTCTCTTTTCTCATTTTTATCAATTTGTTGTTATCCTCCAAGTGCAGTTCTTTTTAGTCACCTGTGAATGTTTAATCTGGTTCAAATAATTCATGCTTGCTTAAGGAACATGATTTGGGATTGGATCAATACTTTTGATATCTGGAAGGCAATCCCATGTACAGTTATAGGACTTCTTATTCCAGAGTGAAGAAATGGAACACACACCATTTGTAGCTTTCTTGGTGTTGCTTTTATTTGAAGCTGAGGCTATCGTAATGAAGGGCAATTTGTGGTCCTCCAGCTGTTTTGAACTTCATCTTCCATCACCTCAATTGACCTCACCCATGTTAAGATTATGGGATTTGCAAGCCAAAACATGCCTATCCCTAGCATATGTGTCCCAGGCTTTTCAACCAGATTATATTTTAGCTGTGTATTGAGGATCCTGATTGACTGGAAAAAAGCATTAAATCAGTTGGTTAAGGTATCTTTTAATATTTCACTTCAGTTTTCTCCACATACTTGCTGCAATATCTGTTTTCATTTTGATTCCTTAGTTTGTCTTCGCGTATATAATGAATGCTCCATTTAGATAAACCAAATAGTTTATCTAGGTTTCACATTTTAGTCTCTGTCAATATTCATAGCTATTTTAGTTTTTTAAAAATGAAATCAATATTAAACAACTTTGCTTTCTCTACTGATATTTCTTTTTAAGGTGAGTAGCAGACTAAGATATGTTGTTTCACTTATGTAAATTTTCTTAAAAGCAGTCTCAATTATTTTGTTGGTGGCAGTTCATTCTATGCTATTATCTCATTTTTTCTACTACCCTCTCCTGTTGGTATCTTAGAATTATATTACTTTACTGTTTGTATGTACACTGAGAGCTTCTGCCCTGGAGACAAATTCCTTGTGTGTCCAATCACACTTTGCCATATAAGGTATTCCATTCCAGTCTAGTCTAGTCTAATCTAGTCTAGGCAGGCACATTCTTGTTCTGTTCTATTCTATTCTATTCTATTCTATTCTATTCTATTCTATTCTATTCTATTCTATTCTATTCTATTCTATTCTATTCTATTCTAGGTAGGCACATTCTTGTACTGGACCATTTGATTTCATTTTAGCAATCATCCCAGGTTTCCTTCTTTGATCAATTTTCATTTTCATCTCTCCCATTATTAAAAAGAGTCCTGCATAACTACTTATGTTTACTGTCTTCTGGTCTTTCCTGGCATGAATATGGTCTGCAATTGTACCTCCATTGTTATGCACTGTAGAATTGAACTGTCCCCGACTACTGCTTATTAGGCTGTTGACTTTTTAAAATATGCTTAGCTGACAATTTCAAGAGATTGTAGCATGATTGCCATTTTGAAGGATGCGACCACCTCCACGCCCAGCTCGGAGGGAAACAAATAGAGTTAGTAGAGTAAACTGAGACATAGGCTGGCTTTTTTCACAACTCAAATTGGGATTCTTTTTCTCCTGATTTTTTAGTCCTTTTCTTTGAGGAAATATCTTTGCTGCATTCTGCTGTATTCTGCTGTATTAAAGAAGTATCCAACTATACTGTGCATGCTAGCTGCATGAGCTAATATGATTTTTATATTCCCATCAAATTTTGAATTTTCCAGCAAAACAACTTCTCATTAAAATCTCATACTGCGGGTACTTGGCTTGGCAGTGACTGACGTGAAGTATATTGTCTTCTCTGACATGTGTTTGCTTGTTTGTCTGCATGTCTTATTGCTCATTATATTTATCATACGGCTCTTTTATTAGCTACAGAGTGTTCTTTTCTTTGTGTCTGAAATTTCTCACCAACTGAGTCTGCACTTATGCCAGTTCTTTTCTTCGGTTCTTGTTCTCTTTGCCTGGCCTTGGAGATTTGGACAAAGGTTAGGCAGGGGGCTAGGAAGGGCAGCAAATGGGAGCATCTCCTGTAGCTTATATATTTATCATATTTTTTCTTCTGCAGCAAGAGTCCAAAGAGGAACATGGTCTGCAGAAGAAAAGAACAAAGCAGCAGCTGGATAGAGTGAAGTTCACCACAAAAAGGAAAATTGCACGTAGGTGTCACGTGTCTGGGGAAAAGGGGATATGAGAGAATGAAGTGTGCACACTTAAAAAAAAAATCCAGCTTTTATGTATGTCAAACATCTCTGTCGATGCTTAATGATTTAGCTTATATGCATGTGTAAGTGAGGCTGCCGCTGTGTTCTGGTATACTGTTGCTCCTAGTCCCCAATATATCTTAAGGTGATCTCCCACTGTTGTGTATTTGAGATCAGAAAAATGAAAGGAGTTATAAAGGTTACTGGTGCTGCACTATGTGGTAACCCAGATGTACGAATGAAAAGTGGTTATTATCACTTCATATATGTTATTTAAGCTACGTATTGTGAGATTTGGTGCGACTCCAACGCATTACATTTTGATTCACACAATTACCAGCCAGCATTTGCCTTTGTTGGTAACTGGTTTTTAAGAGTTGAAATCTATCTGGGGTGTAACGATTTGAGGAAGGCTGGCTAAGCCATATCTAAAGGCAGCCTTGCACTCATACTTTTTATGTTAGGTAGCTTGCCATTAGGCAAAGAATGCAGACCCCGATTTATTCATTAATCAGTCTAATCCAAGGGTAGGCAACCTTGGCTCTTTTATGACTCGTGGACGTCAACTCTCTGAATTCCTGAGCCAGCTATTCCTGGCTCAGGAATTCAGAGAGTTGACGTCCACGAGTCATAAAAGAGCCAAGGTTGCCTACTCCTGGTCTAATCCAAAAGCCTCCTTTGAGTTTGTATTAAGGAGCTACAGTTCTGAGGTAACCAGTATCAGTCAATAAACAGCAACTGGAAAACTAGGTTCTGCTGCCACCAACTCTTCCTTATAAATAAATCAGCCTTTGGGAAACCAGGAGAGGATTGAAGGGGAAGTCCTGATCCCACTCTGGGTCTGGCTAACTGCAGAATAGGAAGCCAAACTAAACTGTAGGAGTTTTTAGCTCAGCTAAATTGATGTGGGTGCCCAGGGGAAACTAGATAATTCCAGAATTTAAATAAAATTCAGCATTGTTATAGATGCCAGAAGAAGATAAGGTTCCACAGACACAACAGACAGTTAAAAAGAATTTTAAAAATGCAAACCTAATGCAATTCTTACTGTAGGGAAATTCCCTCATTTAAGATGCCAGCTTTCTATAAACTTCTATAGAGTTCTTTCTATAAACAAAACATGTTTTCATCCAGAACCCCCTTCTTTTCCTTTATTGACTCTCAGGGCTCAAGTCAACTATGGACAGATATGGGCTTGTTCTTTAAAGGGCCAGCTGCTCTTTTCTAATGCCTAATGGCTTCACAAATATATCCATAGAGTTCCCTTGGTTCAATATGGAAATAGTGACTGTTGGCGTTTGGTATTTAATTTTACCTCCATCTAGCCCTGTAATCTTGGTAGACCTAGGTAATTTACTTGAGAAACAAGTCATGGACTCATGAAGTTGAAAGGGATATAACAGGGGTGTCAAACTGCCGGTTCGCAGGCCGGACGCGTCATCCAGAAGCTGTGCCTACCCCACTGCCGGCAATGGCAAAACCATCCTGATACATTGTGCGGCGTCACATGACGTCACGAGTTTGAGATGTCTGGGATATAAGAACATGTCAAGGATTTGCTGCACCCATTTCTGATAGTAGGATGATTTCAGGATTTTTTTGGTTTTTTTAAAGTGTTATGTCTGATGGACCATTAAAAATGTAGCAAAAAATAAAATAATTCACAGAATAAATTTTGGTTTAGTCTCCTCATGATAGCTTCATGGTTTTATTCTGATTCATAAAATATGTATTCAGGAGCATCTGTGCCCAACAGTATTTGCCCACTTGATACAATCTAGTAGAAAGGCTCCTTTCATGTCTCTTTGTTCAGGGGTCCTCTATAGCATGGGTCCCCTCTATAGCAGGTCAGGTCCAATACCGATCCGTGACCTGTTAAGAACCGGGCTGTGTAAGCATCAGGTGAGTGAGGTGAACTAGTGAAGCTTCATCTATGCATATGCGGGATTTAAGTTGCGCGTGAAACCATCTCCCCCTGATCTGGGGAAAAATTGTTTTCCACGAAACTTGTCCCTGGTGCCAGAAAGGTTGGAGACTGCTGATCTATAGGGGTCATGGAAACAGGCTGCTACTGTATGCTTTAGAAAGGCCCTTAGAACCTGGCTATTTCAGCTGGCTCCGGGAGTGGGTTATTTTAATGTGTTCCCTCCGGAACTAGATTTTATCTTTTTGTACATTAAATGGTGCCCCAATGTTTGTTCATGTTGATATATGGTGATATATTTATGTTTTAACCTGATGTATACGTGTTGGAATATATGTCGCTCAGAATTCTTAGCGGATGGAATAAGCCCAATAAATAAAATAATGTTTGCAACATATCTAATCTGAAACTATATGAGATGCATTTGTGAAAGCGGTGATTGTACTCTAAGCAGAAATTCGAGTCAGTATTTCAGAAGTCTTCTCTGTAGATTTTTCTAATAGAAAAAAAAAAGGTTATATTCAGGAATCCAAAGTAGCAGAAAGCCTAGAGCTCTCAGCCCTTTAAAGTAGGCCAAGTCAAGAGACAAACATCTTAGAGATCCCTGGAATGCCATTTAATTAAAGGAAAGGATAATAACAGAACCTTTGGAGCCTGTCCCAAGTTTTTCTCTGCTCCCTCTTATACTGTCAAAATCAGGGTGGGGTTATTCTGAGTTTCTTGCTGGGGTTGCTTCAACCTCTACACTATTTACCGTATTTTTCCGTGTATAAGACGCTATTTTTTCCTGCAAACACCCTGTTCAAAAATCAGGTGCATCTTATACAAGTGCAGCGTCTTATACACAGAAAAATAATGATAACCTCCACAGCCCAGGGCATGCCTGTGTGGGTTGCCATGCCGCCTGGTGCAGGTGTCAAGCCCCTGTGGGCTTGCCACTAACAGGAGGGGGGAGGGGACAAGATTGTCGGCCGGCCGGTCAAACTTCCGGATTTGCCAGCTCAGCTGTTCGGCGCTCCGCCGAATAGCTGATCAGCGCAGAGAAACTTGCATGCCAGAGTATCTTATACAAGGGTGTGTCTTATAGATGGAAAAATATGGTAAGCGCTTCTCCAGGTCCTTAAGAATTCTTTCCTACCAAGATAATCTCTACATTCCTTTACAAGAGGTGAAAGCAGAAGGGCACAAACACCCCCTCCCATTTACGCAGAACACCTACGAGACAGGTTCATTTCAGTTGAATATGAAATTTACATCGCATACAGTCTTGGAAATTTTGGATCTCTTGTACTTGTTTGGAGCCCACTAATGTCAGACTTATAAGGTAGAGCAAGCTAAGAAACAAATGCTTATGTGCAGTGGTGTGATAACATATGCATCACAACTAGCTTGGCAAGCTCCATTACTAACAAGCCACAGCATTGGTGCACTAGGAATTGGTGTTTGGCTCTCAACCAGCTCATAAAACTTCTGAAAATGTAGCAGTTGGCTCCTGCAAGCCAGCTCCAGCACATCACTGTCCAGCACATCACTAAAGTAGTTTTATAAATAGCTATAGAAGTTTAAAGAATAGCTACAGTAACAGACCCTCTTAAGTCTGAATGTGCTTCCTTCCTCCCTCACTTTATCTTCATATGAATTTGGGAAGGGCCTGTCTGGGTTATTTACTCAAACTAGTTTTTTTTTAATGAAATTACGCTTCCCCTCTCTGATTGTTGTCTTGGTAACAGTTCTGTCCACTGTCCATCCCGGTTATTTTCGGTGCCCTCTATCTAGCGCCATCTAACTAACTCCTTAGTCCAACCTTCTGTAAAGTATGGCCTTAGCCACCCCTACCTAACAGGGCTGACCTAAGCAAAAGTATTTGCATTTCCCACTCTCTTTGCTGCTTTGGATGCGGGTCTCATCCAGTACATTAGAGCAGTCAATTAGCAATAATTAATTAGGCACATCCATTTACATGTCTGCTCTTTTATTTATTAGAACTATAATTAGCCTTTTAGTGTTTATTTTTAGGCAAATTAAGGTTCATTTCTTTGAAGTAAAAATGCTGTCTATGTTTTAAAGGGTTGCTTGAGTTTGATGACAAATTGGTCTCTTAGAGAAGAGACTGCATGCAGAGGATGGGGGTTGCTTGGCCTTTTCCTTGGGGATTTAGATTGAGCTTACTGAAGCAATTAGCAAGTATCTGTGCGGGGTGTGTGTGTGGATATACACACATGTGTATATGTGTATTGTATGCGTGCATATGGATGGTGCAAAGGGTTATCTCTCAGCGGGCCTGGTGTACACCGCTCCTTGAGTTGACATCTTATTATTAATTACATGGCATATCGGGTTTGGTTTAGCTGTACATATGGAGAAGTCCTTATTTATTTGTATATTTTAATTGCAATAATTTATATGCTGCCTCCCCATACAGTTCTAGACAGCTCACAATGAATTCAGGCAAAACCTATCACAACATCACATTAAAAGCAGCATAATCATCAACAACAAAAGCCTAGACTGTTCTTCAAGGGTTCAAAATACTTCTGCACTTCGCTGCAATTCCTGATAGATGATACCTTCTGCCTGGAAGGCGTATTGGAAAAGGGCGGTTTCAAATAAACAACAGGGAAAGTCTGTCCTCATCTTGGAATGGGTCAGGCTCTTTCCACATTGTGGCAGTCGCCACAGAGAAGGACAGCTTCTCGGCTCCCTTCCACATGGCATTGCAGCCTGCTTTCTTGGAATTCAGGTTCCATGACAAAGTAGGGCAAGCATCTGCAGCTAATAATTCTATTGACTATGTGCCATCAAATTTTTCTTGACTCTTGGTGACTGCGTGGATAGATATTCTCCAGGACGATCTGTACCCAACCTAGTCCTTCAAGTCTTTCAGGGCACACCTTTTGCCACTGTAACTGAGTTCGTCCACCTTGTTGCTGGCTCTCTTTCCTTCTACCCCTCCCAGGATTAAAGCCTTCCTCAGAGAGCTAGGGTTGTGCACAATGTGTCCAAGGTAGGATAATTTGATCCTGGTCATTTG